ACGATTGTGATTTAGAAGAGACAAGTGGAAGTGATGCAGAATCTGTAARTTCAGATGTTATTACGGGAGTGCGAAGAAAACGACGGGTTCTGCCTTTACCGAGTTCTTCTGACGGAAATGACGAGGAAATGCATTTAGACTGGATAGAATTTGATAAAACAGCGAATAATAATGCAGCTTTTAGGGGAACTCCGGGTCCTACAGTGTTTCCAACAAATACAAGTATGGTCGATGAATTCGTAAATACGTTTATTGGAAACGATTTATTGGAATTTATTGCCACGGAAACAAACAGATACCACGCACAGAATTGTGGCAAATATAAAGAGCAAAAAAAAAGTGTTAAATAGTTCGACGTAACGGTGGCAGAGCTGAAAAAGTGGTTTTCATTAATAATTATAATGGGACTTGTGAAAAAACCAAGAATGAAGGATTACTTGTCCACAAATCCACTGATAGAGACTCATATATTTTCCAAAACAATAAGCCGCAATAGATTCAGGCAAATATTGACATACRTTTATTTTGCAAACAATGCTATCACGCCTACCAATGGTAACAGACTCTTTAAAATACAATACCTAATCGACTATTTCTCCAAAAAATTTTAAGAAAATCTCAATCTTTCACAAAACATTTGTATTGATAAAGGTATGATATCATGGCGGCAAAGTGTTTCTTCCAAAATATTGCCGGCTACTGGCGACGTTTCACTGCGCAAACGTGCGGTTGTGAAAGTGTTAAAGAGAAGAACGATAATTTAAAACTAAATCGGTCGGATTCAGGCTCAATAGATGATAAACTAAAAAAATTAGAGGAGGCAATTCATGTTGCTACTACTAGTACTAAGCAACTAAAAAATAACCAAAAAAGTTATGCCGACAGAGTGAAAATCCCTGCTGTTGCGAAGGAAAACACCAACCTTACCGACACTAAACGGCACGTAGTAGCGATCTACCCAAGCTCTGAGAAGAATATTAAGTCAAGTGAGGAAACAAAAACTACGGTCATGAGTTGCATGGCTCCTACCAAAGAGAAATTGAAGATCTGTGCTGTTAAGAAAATTTCCAACAATGGAATTTTTATAGAAACAAAAACTAGAGAAGATCTTGAGCGTGTTCTTAAATCTGAGAAGTTGCAAGCAGCAGGCTTAAATACTGGAGAGCCCAGTAAGAAGAAACCTATGCTTATCGTCTACAATGTGCCTAAAGAGATGAATGATAAGGAGTTTGCCCAAGCGCTCAGGCAAAAGAATATGCATGATTATCAAAAGAGCAAGTTTACTGAAGAGCTATCAATCTTTCACAGATCCGATAGTAGAAGTGCATACACAGTTAACCTGGTTTAAGAGGTCTCACTAAATGCCAGAAACATCTTATTAAGAAATGATAGGGTCTATATTGGCTGGAATGCTCTCCGGATCCGTGATCACGTTGCAGTGAGCAGATGCTATAAGTGTCAGTCTTTC